TTCTTAGTGTTAGCACAGAAGATGAGCATGCTTACAGCCAACTGAAGCTCCAGCACACATGTGACAGCTCAAAGACAGGAGCTGTTTTTGAGAAAAACTACATATTTATTCCAGGGTCTCAGAGCAGCTAGAAGGAAGTGTTCTACAGCCACAGTAAGAGCTCACTAGGGCAGGTGCTTAAGTCTTTCCCAGACAAGGCCCAAAGAACAAGCAACATCTGTCACGAAGGATTCAGAATCTTGCTGCTGGATAAACTCATAATTAATGGGTGTCCCTCCAGAAGAGGACCAGGTCAGACCGAAACAATTACCATGTAGCAGCTGTTGGGTGTCCTCTGATTAATTCTGCCAACTAGACCAATGTCAAAGCCATCACTGTCAACAGCAACTAACCAGAAAATCTGTTTGTAATGCATCAAAAGCAATTTACTGCTCAGTGCCTCTGCTGAGACAGCAATCAGCACACTTAAAAAAAAAAAAAATCTTATGCAGCTTGAAACAAAATTCAGTTTTATAATTTTCAAACAGCTGAGTTGCAAGTCCGAGCACATAAACTGGCTCTAAGCTACATTTCTGCATTTGTTTTTTTTTAAGAATATTTCTTGCAAGTTTGTCTTAATACTCTTCTCCCTTCCTCTTCTTATTCTATTTCACTGTGCAAAGAAGACCTCTTATGGTATTCGTAGTGCTTCTGTTAAAACAATTCCTATTGCTTAAGATTAGAAACCTCACTACAAAGGCCTCTCAAATTTTACTCAGAGCTGCTATTGCAAAAGCTTACACATAGAACATGCATAAATACACAGAGCAAGGACTAAAATCTGTCCCTGCATCTTCAGAATAAATTAGAAACTTCCCACAGCATATGAGAACGTTGCTCAAAATCTGATTTATTAAAGTTTCTAAGTGACAAGTGTGTTTAGTTTAAAAAAAAAACTATAAAGGAATAGTTCCATAACTTTATTTGAGCAGGGCTAACACTCAGTTCTCCTTATTACAAATACGAGTACTTTATTTATGTTTGGTGTTGCAACCATAATTAACACAAAGTTTTTCTTACATGGGCAAGTAGTCTAATTGAAGAAAATACTTCTCCCCCATATGTAATGCCATCATGAAGCTTTCATTTGATGTCTGCTGCCTGTAATCTAAAAATACAGCATTATTTCTTTATCTGAACCAGACCTTGTAACTGGTTCACTGCACATTCACACAGAAGCAGCTCAATGAAGGAGGCAGCAGGGGCTTGAGAATAACTGATCAAGGACTGCCGAGGTAGCAAACAGCACCACTGCTGAGTGTACTGTCACAACCTAATGATATTGTCAAATAAACAGCTTCAGAATATTTCTGCCTTGTTGTCTTCTGCTTCAAAGAAAAAAAGCTCTTCTCAAAAACATCCTTTGAAGTAACTTAAGGTTAAAAATTGGAAAAAAAAAACCAAAACCTGAATAAATGGATGCAGACTGTAACTGCAGCATGTTTTCTTAGCACCTGCATCATTTAACTGATTATAACCAAAACATACAAAGATTCAGTTTAAAAAATACAAATAATATAAAAAAAAAAAACAACAACAGTTTCAAGTACCAAAAGGAAATGAGCTGAGACCAAAGGCTTTCCTATACAGAAAATATATGGTCATGCAAAGTAAGAGTGTGCTAACGGATTATTTTGGTAGTTATAACATCTGCTGCAAGCTTCTAATTTATCTCGTTTCAGCATTTCTCAAGCTGTGCTTGTAACAGATACCAACAATATTTTGCTACAGAAAAAAGTTGTATTTCAAAGACTGCTTACACACGCAACTCAAAAAGCCCTCTGTGGAACATTAAAGTTTGCACTATAAATAATCTGTGGTGATACTAAGCAGGGGGTTCCACCCATTTTGTTAGATATATTCATAAACAATGTTGAAGGATATAATCCCTCAATACCACTGAAAGAAAAGAAACAACAAAAAACAAAGGAAAATGAGAACTGCAACTGCCCATTCTTTCTGTAAGGAAATGTTCCCAGCTTTAAACAGTTATTTTATACTTCCACATCAACTTTCAAGGAAGAATGTAACAAAGCAAAATGGAAGTATTCAACCTTCACAATTCTTTTATTTTTCAATGGGCCAAAGTTATTGTGGAAAATAAAATGATTACCTAACAATTCAATAGAAACAAGAGAAATACAAAAAGCTAAAAAAACCACTCATTTCCATGTCTGTTCCTTTTTCTACTGCTTTAATCTATGCCATTTTTCTTCTGAAGTTCAGTATCTTTTCTATGAATCTCTTTAGCTGCCTTTGCCCTACAGGCTGCTGCAGAAGCCTCATCGTGACTCACACTGTTCCTTGCTGTACAAGCAATAAACACTGATAGTGGTTTAAATTAGAAAAGACAGTGTGATCATGTCTTTTTCTGTGAAGCAAACAGATGAAGGTACTATTGCTCTCTGTCCAGCACTTGAGAGACTGCGTCTCAAAGGTGTCAAGTTCTGGTGTTCTTCCTCCTAGTTCTGCATTAAAAGAGACACTGGCTTTCTGGATGGTGCATACAACCCAGGAGAGGCCCACCCCAGCTGGCCAGGATGCTGGAACCATAACCTAAGCAGACAGCCTACAAGAAATGAGTTTGTTCAGACTTTGGAAAAAGGTGCCTCACAGAGACCAGAATGCTAAAGGAAATGGAGACAGACTCTTCCTGGATGCATGGAGAAAAAATTCTAGAGGTCACAAGCTGCAACAAAGGAAGTTCTAAATATAAGGAGAAAAAACTTCCACCCTGAAGGTTGTTTAACACTTGAACCTACAAGCCTATAGAGCCTATGCAATCTTCAGCCTGAGAGATGTTCAGCACGGTTCTGGGCAGCCTGATCTAGCTGAACCAACTTTGAGCAGGGGGTTCCAGTTAGATGACCTCTAGCAGTTTTCTAAAGGCAAAGGAGACAACTTTCTGAGTTTTTTTAAAACATTTCTCATTCTTAGATCTCAAAGCGTTAGACCTGACAAGCAGCATTTACAGATGTCAAAATTGAGAGAGACAAAGAGAAAGATGAAATAATTTTCACTAGGTCAACCAGGAGACGTTATTTTTGTTGAAAAAGGAATGAGTTTAAGGAGATTATGTTCTATGATCCCCTCCTCCACTAGGCCCATTGTTTTTCCACTTCAAGGAACTTCTACATTGACATTAGTGACTGCATTACTGATGGAAAAACTCATTTTACTTTCAATGATGTATTTGGGTCATAAATCCCACCCTATCAGCAAGGGAACAATCTGAACGACAACTTGGTTAAACTTCTCTGTGCTGGTTTGTAACAAAGAATTGAGTTATTTAGTTGCCTGTGGCATTTTAGCTCTGCATATTTCTGCTCGCCAGTCTCTGTTTACCCTAGCTGACAATAAGAACATAAGACAATAAGACAGTCAAGTCACTGTCGAGTCCTTCCCTCTTTCCAACTTTTTGGGAGCAACATACAGTCATCTTTTATTTACTTACACAGGTCTACCCAACAGTTAAGAAGGAGTGGTACAATGTTACCAGGTCAGGTGAACAAGAAACGATCAGACTTCCTCTACAAGAACTAGTTAAGTCCCTACAAGTTCACAGAAACTTTCATAATATTTTATGCGCTTAAAAATATACAAATGTGATCTTTCATTTCTTCTTTTCCTTATTTTCATATTTTATAGATACAGTTGGTATTCCTTCTGCTGCTTCCAATAATTTAGGAATTTCTGAAATAGAAACTATAAAGCTATACAATATACTACATTCCCCTATGAAGTAATGTTTTCCTAAGACAATTCCTATCTTATCTTGTTACCTGCCATTCCTTGTTCAACTTTCTCCTTACCTCATCATAATCAATTATTCAGTGATATTTATGACTGATTTGTGCAGCGAGCCTTCCAGTACTCTTACTCTTAACATGAGATCTAATTCATAGAATAACTTGGGTTGGAAGGGACCTTTAAGCCCATCCAGTTCCAACTCCATGTCATGAGCTGGTTGCCCCCCACCAGATCAGGCTGCCCAGAGCCCCCTTCCCACCTGGCCTTGAACAGCTCCAGGGATGGGACATCCATAACTTTTCTGGGCAGCCTGAGCCTCACCACTCTCTAACTAAAGAATTTCTTCCTAACATCTAACCTTTATGTGTGTGTGTGTGTATATATATATATACACACTTCGTTATTTTTACTCCCCCACCACTGGGGAACTGAAATTGCTATTTAAAAAAAAAGGAAAAAATCATAAATGAGTAGACAGCCTTTTGCCACATGCTATGAAAACCTAATTACCAGCACAAAATGACATTACTCAAGTCTGAGTCAAACCCTGAAAGTAACTTAACAAGTTATCAATAGAGTAAAGAAAATGAGATGACACAATATCTTAGAACTTTGAAAATGAAAAGCTGTCAAGTGACACCACTGACTGAAGGTCAAAACAACTGGTTCACACAGACTTACTATGGAGTAAATACAATCTCTAAAGCTCCTGAACTCTCTCTCAGACTTATTTCATTATTCCCTATAACTGCATCCAGTTTGTCACTGTGATGGTCACCCAAACATTTTGTCCAATATAACTGCATTGAAGGTAAACAAAAGCCAATTACTTCATGCATTTTGTTTTGAAAGCTTCAATGATCTATTTAACCTATTTATTTTAACCTAATTTGAACCCACAAGCATTGCAATAAATGAACTAAATTATCAGACAACAAAACTATCTTGAAACCTCCTCCGAGTTTTCTGAAAGAAGAACAAATGCACAAAAACTAAACAATGTAATAGAGATTTTTGTTTCTTATAATCTTTCTTAGCCACGATAACCTCACACAAGCCAGCAAAATGTTTGTCACCAAAACGGAATCATGAACAGTAACTCTAAACACAGAAATGTTTTAAAGGACCATTTTCATGTTGGTTGCAGACCATCCAGAGAAGTAACAGTAAAAATATAACAACTTCTATTTAACTTGAGTTATCTGGATTACCTGTTTTTCTTCCTCTGGCATATCTTTTTCCAGTTCTAGTAAGTATTCCTCGTCTAGCTCTGTCTGCTTCCTTGTGCTATTCTCATCATTCTGTGAATTTCCCTCATCATCCAGTACAGGCTCTTTCACCTCAAAGGAGTCACGACAGTCATGGAAACACTCATCTGCTGTGGTGGGATCTTTGGCTGAAGATGGTATATTGCCACTTTCCATAGTTGGAGGATTCTGGGCATCTTTGGGGCCAGATGCCCATGAGCTGGTGCTCTCTGCTGACTTCTGATCAGAAAGCTTTAAGTGATCAAGCAATTCTTCTGGCGGATGTCCATTTTTCACCTCCTCCATGTCAGACTCCTTGGTTTGATTTATAGAAACAAGAGAGACATAACCTTCCATTAGCTTAATGGAAGGAATCTTGACAGCAAATACTCAAAAGTGCTTACAGATACACCTAATAATAAGCGATACCATCCTAAGGAAGCCATACCCTCCAGGGTAAGGCAGATCTAACACACGTTTTTGCAAACACTGCAGAACCAACCGGGGCCATGGCTGATCGCACACCCAGGCAAACTCCCGGGTGCCCAGTACCAGCCATGGCACAGCAGCAGGCCCCAGCCGAGCCGCGGGCCTCGAGCCCAGCGCGCCCAGCCCCAGGCCCCGTTTCCACACCTCAGCCCAACCCCGCCTGCTGAGAGGCGGCTGTACCGAGCGCTCCCCATGACCCGGGCACCGCACTCCCCAGCCCGCCCACCTCACACCGCCCGAGGCCGAATCCCACACCTTCCCTCCCGGCTGCTGCCGCCGCCGCCGCTCACCTCTCACCCTTCACCTCGCAGATCGCTTCCTGCCTGCGCCAGCCAATAGGAGGGGCCGCGCGCGGGCTGCCGGGATTTGTAGTCTCGCGGGATGCAGCGGGAGGGGGCGGTGCTGCGCCGCGGGGCGGGGATGGCGCGCGGCTGTGGAGTGCGCGCGCGGCTTCTCCTCAGTCTGAGGCGTTGCGGGCGGCTGCTGCGCGCTTACAGCCTCAGGTGTGTGTGGGGAGGTCAATAGAACTATTCTCGCGTCATTCCTGACCTCCGTACTTCTAAATGATGTCACCAGGCTTTGAATCGAGCCTGAAGGGCTGATAGGATGTTCAGCATTTCAAAGTTGGGGTAGAAATTGAAGACCTGGTTGATTCGTTTTTGGTCCTCATCAGCTCAATCTGGGTGTGCAGCTGTCAGATAGTCTCGTTGAAGGGAAACGTTTCTGAACCTTCATACTGTCCCGTTAAATATTGTTTCGTTTGAAAAAGGATAAGGAGATGAAAACTGCAGTACAAAATGAAGCCGTGCAGTTTTGAAGGGGCTGGACTGGCATTTAAAACTCCTGTGCAAAGAGCACAGGGGTTTAGGGAAGGTGCATCCTGAGAAAGAACGGTAGTGGTGAGAGCAGTGCTGGGTGCCAGGGATCAGCAGTGCTTCCAAGTGGTGTCAGCCTGCGTGTTACCTCGTTTCCTAAAGAGAGCTTATTTGTCAGCAGAAACACTACAGGAAAACAGCCCTGCTTAGAATTCCACAGCTGTTGCTGATCAGTGGCAACATATGACCTTGCTTCCATGTGAGACTGGGCTTTTGAGCTCCCACACATCTGAGCTGTGGCAGCTAGGGCTAGGAATGCTGTTTTCCAGGAGCTGCAGTCCTTGGCCAGCCCTGCTGCACGCCGTCCAAAACCTGTCTGTCACTTTTGGAACGTGTGTCATGAGTTTACTGATCCCATGTGACTGGTAATTTTTCTTCACTGTCACATTTTTAACAGGGTTCCTCTGCTTATTTTCTGCCTGTGTCTGCTCTGATCTGAAGACTCTTGGGGGCTCTCTGAGTGATAGAAGTAGAGACTATCCAGCAATTTTGTTACTCCCAAACACAACGTGGGGGAAGAGCTACAGTCCCCAAAAGCCTCAGTTCCTAATGATTATTCTCTCATGATCTTTACTCTGGATCTAGCCAGAAGCGCAAGGTCCTAAGATCCTAGTCCACAAAAGATGGACTGCTGTTTATGGGTGTTGGTGCATCCTGAAACTAGCCCAGAGCATGCTATAGCCCCATGAAAGTCTCCAAATATCCCTCCTGTGGAATTGCCCCTCAATGCCACTATGAAGCAGAAGCCCAAAGACTTTGTTAATATTCCGTGAATGAACCCACCAGAAGAACCCTCTGCTTTCCATCAGTCTGCCAGTCCTCCAGACAGCAAAAGAGGCAGATTAATTCCTTACTAGGTATATCAATATAGTCAATGTATGTAACTTCTGTCCTAAGTCAGCACTTAAAAACCTTACTATCTGTCTGTCTGTCTCACTTTCTCTTCTTTACACTTTAACATTCTTAACAGGAGTGTTTTCATTGGGTTCGCAGTTTGCGTAATGTTTAGAAAGTAAAGAAACAAGTTCTCTTACTGTATCTTCAAATGTATACATTTTAGTATGAAACACCCTGGAGATCATAGAATAGTTGTCAGCTTTGATCACTAAATCTCACTTGTTCAAACGCAGAACATGTTACTGCTTTAATCAGCCTTTTAGGATCTCTAATTCATTGCTTTAGGCAGAAGTGTATGAATAGCTGAAGCTTATGTATATACAAAAAATGAAATCTTGTTATCATTTATTTAATCTTCTTGAGGTTAGGGGATTTTTACAAAGCAGTGATGTTTGTTTAAGTGAACACCTGTTGAAAAAAACGAGAACATATAATCCCAAATAGTAGATATGTTTGGTTAAGAGTTCAGCTATGGAAGCTTTAGCTTGTGTTGAGATTTACTCACTGTTTTGAATGGGCTTACCTCCTGAGGGTATAAGCATGTGTCAAAGTCCAAGGTCACTGCATAGCAAAAGTAGAGCATTTTAATGCTACGATGCTTTCCCCAAGCCAGACATAAATTGAAGAGGTAAAGTCAGACAAAGAGTCTATATCACAAAACTTTCCTCTATCAAAACCTTTTTCTCCTTCCTAAATTTTTTCCGTTTCTTCCCAAACCCACAGCCTGGTGAAGGTGATGTTAGCTGGTACAGTCAGCTGATTCAAGCATGATTGAGTGTGTGAAAAGAAAAGCTGCAGGAAGAAAGTTGGGTCGACTCTAACTTTGTTGGTGAAAGAAAATAGGAAGGAGCAATATGAAAGACTTAAGTTTTTTTGTTTCTGACACTAAAGTTTTCTACTAGACTGTTGTGGGTTCTAGTACATTTTTTACTACTTTCAGGAGAATCTTAGATTTTGCCTACCTTTTACAACTGTGAATGCAGTTCTACAAGTAGGGAAGTCAAGAGGGCAACTGGGAAGCGTAGAACATTTTATTCAGATAGTTAAAGCCATGTTTTTAAAATTCATAATAGTTACTCTCTAGTTTGCAGCAATGTGTAATTGCCATTTGGGAAAATAGCTTTGCTATTTCAATAAATCTATGGAAATTCATAGCCCAATATCCTTGAGTTAATCTAAACCTCCAATGACACCAAATATAGCAAGAATTTGTGTTATTTTCAAGGGTAAAATTCAGTAAATCTACCAGTAGACATAAAATAGTTTTAAATGCTACAGCCCAGCTGATTTTCTGCTGAACAAACTCCTGAGAGCAATACCTGGCACTAAATCTCACACTGGGACATTGTAGTTCCAGTTTTTTGGCCAGATTTTCAAGACAGTTCTGCACATAATTAGGCATCTAATCTGCGTGCATAATTGCAGTGAACTTAGGGACAACTGAGTGATGCTTTAGTACTGAATTTCATTTGTTTGTTCATTCGTTTGATGTATATGAAAAAGCAAGAAACGTGACCATAAAGAACAACATTTTGAAAAATTATCCTTAAAATATCATCCTGTTGATAATAAATAAAAGCAACTTTTTGTTTGTTAAATATTGCACTCATTCCCTCCTGCAGACTTCTGATATCCGTGTATCCCTTTGTGGATAAGAAATGGCTAATTTTTCATTTCAGAAAATTACATCGGTTTTCTAAATATTTCCACGAAGTGTGACTTGTTCAAGTTCTGAGCTCCCATATCTGATGAACAATTCATGTTGATGTAGTTTAAGAATATGTTAATTATCCTGTTTAAGTTTTAGATGATCCTAAAATTGCCTTTTCTCTTACAGCATTCTAGTTTCACATGATGTTAAAAGTGTTAATGGGGTTCAAATTAAAGCTTTCGGGATGCTTTAAATGTCAGTATCATAGAATCACAGAAGGGCTCGAGTCAGAAAGGACCTTAATGATCATTTAGTTCTAACCCCCTGCCACAGGCTGCTTATCCAACAGCAGATCAGGCTGTCCAGGGCACCCTCAGCTCTGGGCAGCAGTGCCAGTGCCTCACCACCCTCTGAGTAAAGAATTTCCTCTAACATCTAACTGAAGTCTCCCCTCTTTTAGTTTAAAACTGTTCTTCTTTGTCCTGTCACTATTGGACAGAGATGGAACCAAAACCCTGGATTCAAACAGCCAGGCACTTTGAAGATGTGCATAGTGAAATCTTCAGATACTCTCAAATACTAATATTTACTGCAGAAGAGTCATAAGGTCGAGCCAATATGAGCCCACAGGCTGAGCGTTGTGTGTTCTTGTTTTTCATAGTATTCCTAAGCTTTACAGGAGGAGCAGTGCAGGACTAGAGCACAGTGAGGTTTGGAATTCTGTCTGTTAAAAGGATCTTTCCACTGCAGCCTGCTTCAAGTCAGCTCTTTGGCCCATCTGAGTGCAGCTCCAGTCAGTTAAGCATTCCTGTAGGATCCCTGGTCTTGTCTCAGTCATGAAAGCAGGAAGCTTTGCTGGTGGGTGAAAATGGCTAATTTACAGCCAATTTATGAAGTATATTTGCTGGTGGTAATTCGTGGTGTGTCCTAAAAATGTGTATTACTTGAGAAAAAGATCAGACTTGTGCTTCTTAAGACAGGAATAATGTAAATGAACATGTATGCAAGAATATGTAAGGATTTCAAACCGCATGGCTGCAGTGCTGGTGCGGTACCAGAGGAACTGCTGTGCCCACAGCTGGGATGCAGCTAGGCTGTGTGGTGTGCACCAAAGCTGAGTGCAGCATGTGCTGCTGAAATTCAGCATTTGGGAAAATATTTTCTCTTTCTTTTTTGAATATTATTGCAGTACACACAAGTTTTGCACAGGAATTGAATCATTTAGAATGCATTTAGGCTGAATGAAGGAGTTTCTACTAAAAGAATTCATGTTATCTCCAGAAGTAGCCCAATTTTTTTTTAATAGTTTCTAGTCCTAAAACAGAAAACTGCATGTTCTGTTTTAAAAAACAAAGCAAAACGCACATAGAATAAAACTTCAAGGCATTAACTTACATGGAAACCAAGTAGCAACTTCAATTGTAAGGAGGGGATTTTCAAAGACACTTGCAGAATTTTGTTAGCTGACTTCTTTATCTGTTAGCTTACTAATCTTAACTCCTGATTCGCTATTAACTTTCTGATCGAAGTTCACTGAATTTCTAGCATGTAAAATCCAGGAAACTTCTCATCTGTATTACTGTATTTATGAATCTCAACTGGAACAGAAATCCAGCAGGTGGCAGTGTTGGATTTCCAATGTCCAGGTCCCTGTTTCTTTCTTTGTAAACCTCGTGTTATTCTCATGGAAATCAAGGCTGAAGATCCCACTTAATAAAATAGTGCAGGGCTGAACATTAAGCTAACTAAAAGAATAGGGATGAGCTGTTCCATAATTACCTCGGGCCCCAGAGCATATGCAAAATTTATTTTTGGGGACAGCCTTTTGATCTTCGCAGTGAAGAAACTAAACCTTCACAAATCAAACACAGAAAAAATAATTACAATTTTCCGGAGGTCATACAGAGTTCGAGTTCTCTGCTGGAATTAAACGTTTGCCCACAGGTCTCAGTGGAATCAACTTATTGTGCTTCCCAAAGAATATATTAAAGAAAATTGTGAAATGGGCAATTAAAGTCTTTTTAATCAACTGTAACCTAAAATTCTACTCTATCTACTTCTAAGTGCGACTTATTCAACTGTGAAGGACTCTTACTCATTTTGACTGTCCATTCTCTTTTTAGTCCTTGTCTCGGCTGAAATCTTATAAAGAATATGGGAATTCTGTAATTAGTTGGTAGGGATTATGTTCTTCACTAATCAAGCTAATGTATTTTGACATAAGAAATTTCCAGTAACAACACCAGATTTCCTGTTCCTGTAACCTTCCAGTTATCTGAAAGATCCTAAGCTAGTACTTTGTCAAATCTATTATTCTGATCAAGTTCATAAGGAGTAACACAAAATCCCAACCTGTTAATTAAGACTATTCTTTGTATTTGTTTGAATGTTTTGTAGAAGCAGAATGCTTATTGTTCAAGCAGTGTAAATGAATTTGTCTCATTTGAGCTCAAAACTACTTCAATTCACATCTTCATTGTATCTAAACTGGGATTTGCCATAGTGACATCACTGATTCATCTAGTGGAACTGCATGTCCTGCAATAACAATAATAGACAGTAAAAAATGGAGGGGTTCAGACTATAAACAAACCCCAGAGAACACTTAATTTGGAAATTCCCAAACTGCAGCCTGTGGCTCTCACAGATGGTCAGCAGATTTAGCTGGCCAAGTACTACTGCTAAAAGAAAAGTGAGTGGAAGTGAGGAAGAGCAGAAGTACTCTATTCAATTAGCTACCTCAAAGGCTTATTATGTACATTATGGAC